CTTTTACAATTAGGTTTATTGTCTGATACAAGTAATTTTTTGTGTATGGTGTGAGGTATGAGTTGAAATTAATTTTTTAATATGAATATTCAGTTGTTCCAGCAGCAACTGTTGGAAAGACTATCCTTCCTCCATTGAATTCCCTTGATCATATGTGTGTGTTTATCTATGAAAAGACTCTGGGGCTTCCCTGGTGGCGCAGTTGTTCAGAGTCCGCCTGCCGATGCAGGGGACGCGGGTTCGTGCCCCGGTCCGGGAAGATCCCACATGCCGCGGAGCGGCTGGGCCCGTAAGCCACGGCCGCTGAGCCTGCGCGTCCGGAGCCTGTGCTCCGCGGCTGGAGAGGCCACAGCGGTGAGAGGCTCGCGTACCGCAAAAAAAAAAAAAAAAAAAAAAAAGACTCTTCTCGTCCACTGATCTCTATGTATATACTTCAGCGAGTACTACACTGTCTTAATTACTGTGGCTTTACAGTAAGTCTTGAAGCCAGGACTATTAGTCCTCCAACTTTGTTCTTTATTTTTTGATGTGGACCATTTTTAAAGTCTTTATTGCATTTGTTACAATATTGGTTCTGTTTTATGTTTTGGTTTTTTGGCCGCGAGGCATGTGGGATCTTAGCTCCCCTACCAGGGATTGAACCCATACCCCCTGCACTGGAAGGCGAAGTCTCAACCACTGGACCACCAGGGAAGTCTCTGTTCTTCTCAGAATTGTTTTGGCTACTCTAGATGTTTTGAATTTCTGTGTAAGTTTTAAAACTGACTTGTCAATTTCTACAAAAACACCTGGTGAGATTTTGATTGAGATTACATTGAATCTATAGATCAATATGGGATGGAATGGCAATTTAACAATATTGAGTCTCCCAATTTATGAACACAACATCTCTGTTTATTCAGGTCTTCTTTAATTTCTCTCAGCAGTGTTTTACAGTTTAAAGTGTAAAGATCTTGTATATAATTTCTTCATGTTTTTGGATGCTATCGTAATTAGTATTTTTAATTACAACTTTTAGTTGTTCATTGGGGTTATATAAAAATAAAATTTTAAAATATTGACCATGTATCCTGCAACCCTGGTAAACTCATTTCTTAGTTGTAGTAACTTTTTATTGTAGATTACTTAGGATTTTCTACGTAGATGACTATGACAACTTCAGTTAAACACAAATGTTATATATTCTTATCCAACGTGTATGCCTTTTATTTTGTTTTCTTCCCTATTTTACTAGCTAGGACAGAACAATATTAAACAGAAGTGGCAAGGGAAGATATCCTTGCTTTGTTTCCAATCTTAGGTGGATAGCATTTAATCTTTCACTGTATGTATGATGTTACCGAGGTTGAGGAAGTCCCCTTCCACTCCTAGTCTGCTGATATATATTAGCATAAGTGGATGTTCAATTTTATCAAGTGCTTTTCTGCATGTATTGAAATGATTATATGTTTTTTCTGGTCATATAGTGAATTATGTTGATCAGTTTTCAGATGTTTCAGCAACCTTGCATTTGTGGGATAAATCTCTCTTGTTCATGATGTATTACCTTTTCAATATGTTGCTGGATTTGCTAATATTTTTTAAGGATTTTTGTATCTGTTTATGGGAGATACTGGTTTGCAATTTTCTTTTTCTTTTCCTGTAAAGTTTTGTCATTTTTGGTATCAGTGTAATGCTGATATCATTAAATGAATTAGGAAATATTCCCTCCTCTTATATTTTGAGTTGTGTAGAGGTGATACTATTTCTTCTCTTATTGTTTGAGAGAATGCACCAGTGAAGGCATCTGGTTTTGTGTGTGTTTGTATGTGTAAATGTTTTTAAACTGCAAATTCAAATTTAAATAATATAGGATCATTCACGTTGTCTGTTCATTTCTTCTTGAATGAGCTTTGATAATTTGTATCTTTCAAGGAATCTATTTCATTTAAGCTACATTTATTTCTGTAAAGTTAGCATATTATTCACTTATTTTTTAATGTCTGTAGTGCTATAATGATTATTCTTGATATTGATAAATGTATCTTCTCTTTTTTTCCTCAATTTGGCAGAAGTTGGTCAATTTTGTTTTTTTTTTTTTTGCGGTACGCGGGCCTCTCACTGTTGTGCCCTCTCCCGTTGTGGAGCACAGGCTCCGGACGTGCAGGCTCAGCGGCCATGGCTCACGGGCCCAGCCGCTCCGCGGCATGTGGGATCTTCCCGGACCGGGGCACGAACCCGTGACCCCTACATCGGCAGGCGGACTCTCAACCACTGCGCCACCAGGGAAGCCCCAGAAGTTGGTCAATTTTACAAATTGTTTCAAAGAACCAGCTTTTGTGTTCATTGACTTTCTCTATTATTTATTTCCATACTTTCATTATCTCCTATTTTATTTTACGTCTAATTTGCTCTTCTTTCTCTAGGTTCTTAATGTAGAAGCTTGGATTGTTGATTTCAGACCCTTTTTCTTTTGTAATTGAATATTTAATGCTGGTAATTTCCCTCTAAGTAATACTATAACCACAGCTACATCTCACAAATTTTGATGTTATATTTTTGTTTTTATTCATTTCAAAATATTTTCTAATTTGTGTTTTCTTCTTTGACCCATAGGTTATTTAGAACAGTGTTGATTAATTTCTAAATATTTAAAGATTTTCCAGATATATTTCTTTTTTTCCCACTTCCTAGTTATTTTACTACATTTTGCTATTATCTATACCCTTGAGGTTATTTACACTTATTTTATCTGTATGGTAGAAATATTACATAACAGTGTGCAGTGGTGCATCACTTGTTCCATGACATCACATTAGTGCTTGAAATCAGCCATGGTGGGAGTATTTACATCACTTAGATTTACCAGCACACTGAGGATATAAGGGGAATATTTTCTCCCTTGAAAATCTTGGTGTATAAATCCTTAGACACTGAAAGTCATCCAGATATCTTTCTGTTTTGATATCTAATTTAGTTCTATTGTGGTCTGGGAACCTATTCTGTATACTTTCAAAGCATTTAAATTTATTGAGGCTTGTTTTATCTCCCAGAATATGCTCCATCTTGGTTGGTGTTATATGTGCACTTAAAAAGAATGTGTATTCTGCTGTTGTTGGGTGAAGCATTGTATAGATGTCAATTAGGTCAAATTTACTGATGTTTTTCAAGTGTTTTCTATACTTACAGATTTTGTTTATAGGTTTTTTTCAACTAATCAGAGAGAAATGCTGAAATCTCCAATGATAATTGTAGATTTGACTTTCCTTTTAGTTTGATAGTTTTTGCTTTATTGTTTTAGAGCTCTATTATTAAGAATGTTTTTTCTTTATGAATTTTCAATGCTTTGTTATAAAATTATAGAATTCTAGGCTAATTCATTTTTATCTCTCAGCATTTTTTAAAGCCCTACTGTTGTCTCTAGCTTGCATAACTTCAGAAGCAAAGTTTGCAATTTATTATCTTTGTTTCCCTGTTTTTATTTTATATACTTCACAGATTCCAAATAATTTCACATATGTTTTCTCATTTAGCTTTATGATTATTTGTACTGAGAAGTTTTTGTAGTTTCACTCAAATCAGTAAACATTTGTGGAAGGAAAAAGATTTTACAGATAGCTACTTTTTAAAGATTAAAAAAAAACCCAAACTCCTTAAAAGCACTAATACTTATTGTCACTTAATTACACAGAAATTGTTAGTTTCAAATGAGATCAGCCATATTTGAAAGATAAGATAAAACTAGAACAGAGTCCACCCCCCTTTGTTTTGTGCTCTTGCTTCTCTAAGCTTAGAAGTGGATTTTCTTTCATTTTAAAAGGGTAGGCAAATGTGTTTATGTTGTTCTAAGATATTTTATAGTAGATCTTAGTTGTGAAAGTGGATCAATAACAAGATTAATCCTGATAATTTCTTACTAATAATTACTAATAATAGAAGAGAATAATCTCAGTTCCAATTTAAAATAAATTGGTATGTGGTATCTGTGAAGAAGCTATCAATTTAGAGCACCCATTAATAAAAACAGTCCTAAAAATGTTTATATAGTCACATTATATTTGTCATGGATATTTGTACTTTTTGACCCCCAAGTACATGGGGCTGAAGACCAGGTGCAACTTAGAACTAATTAAGCTGGTCAATAAGAATTGTGTTACATCAAAATTATCTCTAAATATATACAACCTAGGCCTAAATGACAGATGGGAAAAATTAAATTAGCTATTGTGATTTACCTAAAAGTTCTCAGGTTTTTTCATTTTTAGTCTGAACAGTTTGATTACAAATTAGTTAATATGTGCTGAATGGTAAGCCTAAGCTAGATGGAGTTGGTAGGTGGTATTTAAAGATTTAACCACAGTGCCATATTACTCTTGGCCCCCCCAAATCCCATATTTCTAGCACTTTATGCAAGAAGTGATCACTGGTTTTTTCCTTTGTAGAAAATTTAAATCTGTTTTTGTTATTCTACTTTTTTTAAATTTTATTTTATTTATTTATTTTTTTGTGGTACACGGGCCTCTCACTGTTGTGGCCTCTCCTGTTGTGGAGCACAGGCTCCCGACGCGCAGGCTCAGCGGCCATAGCCCACAGGCCCAGCCGCTCCGCGGCATGTGGGATCTTCCCGGACCGGGGCATGAACCCGTGTCCCCTGCATCGGCAGGTAGACTCTCAACCACTGCGCCACCAGGGAAGCCGTCTACTTTTTATTTATTTATCTATTTGGCTGCACCAGGTCTTAGCTGCCGCTTGTGGGATCTTCATTGCGGCATGCAGGATCTTTAGTTGTGGCATCTGGGATCTTTAGTTGTGGCATGTGGGGTCTTTAGTTGTGGCACACGGGGTCCCTAGTTGTGGCATGCGGGATCTTTAGTTGCGGCATGTGGGATCTAGTTCCCTGACCAGGGATTGAACCTGGCCCCCCTGCATTGGGAGCATGGAGTCATAGCCACTGGACCACCAGGGAAGTCCTACTTCTTATTTTTAAAAGATTCACTTGATTTTATATTTTTCTGTGACAGGTATCTTCACACAAGGACAGCTGGGCCTGGTAGACATCATCTTCCAGTACATTCACTGTGATGAGATCTATGAGGCAATAAACATCCTGAATAGTATGAACTGGGACACTCTGGGCTACCAGTGCTTTATCAGCATGACTGCCATCGTAAACCATCTTCTTAGACAAAAGCTCACTCCAGAGAGAGAAGGTCAGACTTAAAACATATTTCATAAATGGGTTTTGTATATACATGAAGTACATTTTATTGTCAGTAGTTTTTTGAGGATGTTTTGAAGTCATGTTACTGGAGATTAGAAGACAAAAATGTTAATGCCCTATTAAACTGACAAAATGAGGTATCAAATAATTACTTCCATATGGTACTTACTGTATAGTACTGGTCAACGTAATAACTTTTCTGTATATACCTATGTCGGAACTCACAATGAAGTCACTGTATATTTCAGACTAAGTTCATGTGTAGAATATGCTCAGATTTCAAACTTTGATGAGAAATTTCATGTACTCTGTAGGGTTTGGAAGACAAAGGGCCCTAAACAAAGTCCTTATTTCTCCTTTACTTTAGATATCAGTATTTTTCTTTCACATCCCAAGTTCTTTGTCCAGACAGTAGACCTTACCACTGATTGTGTGTGTGTGTGTGTGTGTGTGTGTGTGTGAGAATTGCAGCCCAGGCTGTTCCTTCTTGTTTTCATTCTAACTTAGAGTTCTGATACCCCTCTCCCTTCTGCATGCTTGGATTTCCCAACCTTCTCCTAATAAGTTATTTTGCCCATAGGATCTCAGATTTTTATTGTCAAAGAGAGACAAGGCACTGTTAACAAAAAAGAAAAAACATATGTGCCACATACAATAATGAAATCAATTTTTATATTTGCCAGTTATCCAGTGTATGTTATTTTTATTATGAGTAATTTATTTACTTAATGTAAAATGCATCTAAACATTCTTGCATTCATATCTTTATTTCAAATATTTGTAATAAGCATTGATATTAACAGTGGGAAATAATGGCCAATGAGAAACTTTCTGTATGTGATTTACAAGGTAAGGAAAACAGGGAATATGTCAAAACGCCTTTACTGGAGAGCTTTGCTTCCGCACTATTTTCTTTCCATGTTCATAGATTTTCTTATTCCATTTTATTACGTTTCCAAAGTAAACAAATTGTTTAGATAGTATTCTGTACATAACCTTCATTTTACTAATTTTAGAGAAGAATAATCAGCAAGAACATGTTCTTTCAAGAAGTCTGCATCATGAGACTTGGCCCCAACTCATAGGAGGCCCACAATAAATATTTATTTAATGTTAATTGAATGTGCTTTTTGGAGGTAGTCCAACACATCTACGGAGATTCCAGTACTTCTGCAATGAGAAAATGCATAGCACAGTGCTTGGCCCACAGTAGGTACTCAATGAATATTAGTTAAAAATAAAAAGAAGATTATAACTTCAAAATTTTAGGGTTCTAGGATTACTGTAGTATTTCTACCTGCAGAGTTATCTCAAGTAATTATTTATTAGTGTTGGTACACTCTTCAGGTTGGGTAGATAGCAGAGGAAAAAAAAAGTAGCAGGGTCCCTAAAGAAAGCCTGGTACACACAATCCATGCAAGATACTCTAAATTTACAGTTGAAGAAATACGAAGAAGAAAAAATATTGACTCTTAGGAGACTGGGAAATTGCTAGCACCTTAGTGAATTTGTGTTGTAAGATCCCTGTGTAGTAAGAAAGATTATTAGGGAATTCACAAATGGGTATTATCAGATTCCCGCCTTAATGAAGGATATTATCAAGGAACCATATTGGGTGGATAGGGAAATAAAAAACTTGTATGATATACTAGGCTATTAAAATAAAATGCTTGCATGATGCTGGGTTATCAGAATATGTACATTTTAAGTAGGTATATGCATTTTCCCCCAAGTAACTGCAAAACACATTTCTAAAACATTTACAATTCTTCTCTATTGAGATTTATTCTATCTGAATCTAACAAATTTGACATGGTAATTTGTTTTCCTCTTATTAGTGGAACCCAGTGAGCTCTTTTATTTGTAGCTGTGCTGTGGTTGTCTTTGAGATCTTCATTTCTGCCTTAAACATCAAGCTGGGCTATCTAATGAATCTATAACTGTGCTGAGACCTACGAGTATTCCATGTAGGCTCAAACATTTCAGATGTACGGAACATGCTGTCAAGAAAACAAGCAATGGCAAGAGAATCTGGCTTGCTTTCACAATGGCATTGCTGTATTCAATTTTAATCTAAATTGACTGCTGCTTTGAAAGAAAATACCACTAAAGTTCATCTTACTTTACTGTCTAGATTTGAGATTAAAAAAAGAAATAGCTAACAGCTTAGCCAAGTCCATAGCAATTACTCTGATGAGGTATGCAATACTTTCAAACCCAGATATGCTTAAAATTAAAGAGTTTTGCTAAATAAGGAATTGTTCATTCAACCTAGTGCTAGTAGCATAAAAATCAGTGGAGTCTTACTGTGAACTGTATTCTCATACAACTCTCACCATTATGGTAATTATATATTTTGCAGGTATTTCTTGGAGGAAACACAACCCCATTGGCATGTCTTGGTAAAAGTGTAAATTAGGCAAAATGTGCTTTTTTCTCCCAGTCACTAGCCCTTTGGCTTATCAAAACCTGCTCTCCAGTCCTTCCTTCCTAGGAGGGTGTCAGTTGACCAAAGCAGATTAACATACCTCCCAGGGGTGTTAACTTTCACACTTGGACAAAACCAACAATCTTGTTGTTTAGGACAGGATTTAAGGAAGGTATAGGGAATTTCAGTCTTTCTCTAAAGTTGTAACAGAGAGATATTATTACTCCAATCAGGATATTTTTATTTGTATTATTTTTTTAAACATTTCTAATACTGATTTCAATGCCTAATGCAGAAAGGCTAGTTTGTTTCTTCCAGCTAAAGAGTAAATGTTGAGCACACTGTGAGTTGATTTTACTGGAAATACTAGTTCAAACTGTGTTACTCTGATGAGTCACTGTTTTAATTACCCATTTGTGGTGAGAGGTTGATTCATTATGGATTTCTTCAGTTTTGACAGCTTTTTGTTGCTCAGAGTCATTGTCAGCTTTGCTTCAAGTGAAAGTTTATACACAGGTTTGTTTTTGTATCAGCTGTCATATTTTAATTTCATCTTTCCTGCAACAAGCTCACATTTCATCCAAGTTTGCAAAACCTGACTGACTGCAAACATGAGTATTCTGTTGTAATTGAAGGAGTTTCACTTGTTTTAGTGCTGCTATGTTTGAATTCCACAGCACAGCTTGAGGCAAGCCTTGGAACCTTCTATGCTCCAACAAGACCACTCCTGGATACAACTATATTGGAATACAGAGACCAAATCAGCAAATATGCAAGGAGATTCTTCCACCACTTACTCAGGTGAATGATATCTTTGGATTAATTAGTGTCAGACTAATTACCTATTCAAGGAGCCATCTTCTTTAATTAGAATATTCCATAATATGGCTATATCTTTTTTAATAGTCTGTCCCCTAAGAGAAAAACAAATTGGCTCTTGATATTCTTTATTTAATTCATTCTTGTTTTCCTATTAAGGACTATATTGGAATATTGTTGAGGGCTTTTACATCATTACTACACTTTAATATAATTGCCCCTTTAATACAAAAGCAAAAAATACCAGCTATGTAAAGTGAATTTAAAAATATTAATTGTACTCTTAACAATAGAGAAATGTTTATTTTAATTGCAGCTAAAATGAATGTGCTATAAAGTTCTAAGACAGTCACAGGTCTGCTTTACTTTCAGAATTACTGTAGAGAGATTTGCTCATTGTCTTCCTATACAAGGTGGCAAGTTGCTAGCTTCACTGTGCCTCATTTTCTCTGCTTTAATTTCCTTTAATTCTTTTAATCTTATGGATTATATGAAAAATTAGATAATGTCAAGAAGTTACTCTGTGACAGATACTGCAGAAGTTGAAGGACAAGTACATATAGCATTTCTCTATATATAAAGTTCAAAAAATGGATGGAAGATGAATGGATGGATAGAGATGGATGGATGGATGGATAGATAGATAGATAACTAGCTAGTTAGTTACTTTAGGGATACATCTGACTATGTCAATGCTAGAAGTAAAAGCAAAGAAGTGAATATAACAAAATTTAGGGTATTGTGGAATGGGTTAAGAGAAATATGAGAGGAACAAGCCCATGGAGCCACCAAGGTATTAGTAATGTTCCATTTCTTAAGTGGAGTATATATCAGGGTCCAATAAAAATTATTATTCTTTTAGCTGAAAGTATACTTTTTGTGTACTTTTTTATATATTTTATAATAGAAAGTAATAGAATTTTCAGTTTCATGTACCATAAATTACATTGAGTTGAATTTAGAGTTTTAATTTTACTTACAGTATAACCTAGCTGTTGCAGTTCTTTTTAACTCAAGCAATTTCATGTATAGTCTCCCCTTTTTTTCCTCAGAACAACCCTGCTAAGGAGGTATTATCAATTGACAAATGAGTAAACTATTTATAAAGTGGCACTTTGATCTCTACCCAACAGTGAAACCTTTGGAAAACAGTCTTTATAGAAGCTGAGAGATGTTAATATATTGCATGAGTTATGACCTATAATTGAATATTGCCTTTTTATCTGAACGATTTTAGTATATTCTAAGAGATTCTTCACCCTAAATGAGGCAGTGTTCTATGTATAATCATATACATAGACATGACAGAAATACTGGGACTGACATAGTACTGATGTAACCACACAGACTCTAACTTTTCTGTGTGGTTACATCTGGAATTGAATGTTGTCTCTTAGGGTATACAAGGTTTTTCATATTTCCTTTTTTGCATGCTTTCTACTATTTCAATTATAATGAATGTTTAGTAGTTCTTTTGAGAGTAGGCTATACACGGCATTATGAAAAAAGGAACGTTAAGTGTAGAAGAAATTGAATGAGATAGCTTAAGTTGGAACCATCCTTTTGTTTAATCTGCTGCCAAGAAGTTCTGCTTAAGGGAAGAGAAAAAGGGCAAATACTTTTCTGTATTTGTGAAGTACTAGAATTGCATTACCCTCTGTACTTGGCTAGCCAGTATTTTAATACTCTAAAAAAAAGTTATTAGATAATGGAATAAGTCCTAAACAGTAAAGATCATCATAAAGAATTTTAAATTAAAGATGAAGGAAAGAGGCACCATGCAGAGTAGGGATATACCTAAGATCACCCACTGGTTAAGCTGAGGACTCAGATTGCTTGAGTCCAGATTAGAAAAAGAATAAAATATTGATTTTAATATCAAAAAGTATATGGCGGGGCTTCCCTGGTGGGGCTACTCTTCATTGCGGTGCACGGGCTTCTCATTGTGGTATCTTGTTGCGGAGCAGGGGCTCTAGGCGCACAGGCTTCAGTAGTTGTGGCTCACGGGCTCTAGAGCACAGGCTCAGTGGTTGTGGCATGTGGGCTCGTAGCTGTGGCTTGCGGGCTCTAGAACGCAGGCTCAGTAGTTGTGGCACACTGGCTTTGTTGCTCCGCGGCATGTGGGATCTTCCCAGACCAGGGCTTGAACCCCTGTCCCGTGCATTGGCAGGCGGATTCTTAACCACTGTGCCACCAGGGAAGCCCCTATTGCTGATATTTTAAAGGATGCAAATAAAACAGCCAGATGAAGAGATGCATAAGGCAAGTTATATGGGAAAGGACTCGAAGCCTCTGTGCCCTCTCCAAGTGCAGCACCTTCCCAGCCCCTCCATATATTCACCAATCCAGAAGCTCTCTGAATCTTCTCCTTTTGGGTATTTATGGAGGCTCCATTACATAGGCATGATTGATTAAATTACTGGCCATTGGTAATTAATTCAACCTCCGGGTCCCCTTTCCTCCCTCCTCCCAAGAAGTCCAGGAGTGAGACTGAAGTTCTAACCCTCTAATCATGTGGTTGGTTTCCCTGACAACCAGCCCCCATCTGTAGAGGCTTTCAGAAAGTCACCTCATTAACCTAAACTCAGGTATGGTTGAAATGGGATTGTTATGAATTACAAAAGACTTTCCTTTCACCTTTTTGGCTCCTTGTCACTTAGGAAGTTCCAGGGAGCTCCTTTGTCACAAACAGTACAAAGATCTAATATATATATTTCTTATTATAAATCACAATATCATAGAAGGAAGATGCAGATTTGCCTAAACTAAGTTCAGAAGGTGATTGTTCACCTCTCTGCTTCCATAAAATTGAACAGTCCTCCAGAACTACTGAATAGGGAAGTATTAATGGAATATTACTCAGCCATAAAAAGAAATGGAGTTATTTGTAGAGAGGTGGATGGATCTAGAGTCTGTCATACAGAGTGAAGTAAGTCAGAAAGAGAAAAACAAATACCATATGCTAACACATATATATGGAATCTAAAAAAAAATGGCTCTGAAGAACCTAGGGGCAGGACAGGAATAAAGACGCAGACGTAGAGAATGGACTTGAGGACACAGGGAGGGGGAAGGGTAAGCTGGGACAAAGTGAGAGAGTGGCATTGACATATGTACACTGCCAAATGTAAAATAGCTAGTGGGAAGCAGCTGCATAGCACAGAGAGATCAGCTCGGTGCTTTGTGTCCACCTAGAGGGGTGGGATAGGGAGGGTGGGAGGGAGATGCAAGAGGGAGGGGATATGGGGATATATGTATAGCTGATTCACTTTGTTATACAGCAGAAACTAACACAACATTGTAAAGCAATTATACTCCAATAAAGATGTTAAAGAAAATAGGGAAGTATTAACAAGTAAGAGCTTTTCATTATAAGTAAATAGAAACTATAAGAGGAACTCCTAAATATTGATGAAATAAAAGGGCAAACATTTCAGTGAATGTGCCACATATGAAGCTTATTTTACTAACATGGAAATATGTTATAAAGGATTAATAGTTAATTTTACTTATTTCCCCTCTTAACTATAAGACTGTTGTTTTCTGACTCAAATATTATTATGTGATTATGGCACAGAAAATCATATTTTTAAAGTGCTTATAAAATAGTATGCAAAATCTTGGGACAGGGAGCTTTATTGCCTAGAAATAAAAATATCATGTTTATAAAATATTTGTGGGGAAATGTACTGATGTCTGCATTTTCCTTGGCACTGCAACAAAAAAATAAGATGAACTGATGGATAGAAAGGGAGATGAATAGATATGTGATAAAACAATGTTGTAAAATGATGATAGAATCTAGGTGGTAAAAAAATATATATATTATTTTAACTTTCCTGGATGTTTGAAAATTTGTATAATATATTGGAGGATAATATGTATTATGTTGGAGTCAATATTTATACTTAGAATTCAGAAAAAAAGGTAGTCTTTTAGAAATGGCTCTTGGCTTATGAAAAATATATATGTTAGGCAAAAAGAAATTGTTAACCACTTTGACTTTTAAATGGCTTTTTAAATTTTACTTTTTACTAATGGAGCATACACAGTAAATAAAACAATTATATGAAATGAATTCAAAAAACAAAAATACTAAAACTGCTACCTACGAATATTTAGAGAATAAGACAGAATGATATACAGAGAAAAACTTCCTGGTCAGATCATCTATTTAATGGATAATATATTTAAAATATTTGTTTAAAGCACGGTAGAGCTGGCAGGAAACTAAGGGAAACACTCAGAAGTTGAAATGACAAGGATGCTTGATTCCACAAGAATAAGCAAAGTCAAAGTTTGCCTTGAGGGCATCTGCTGGCACCTGGCAGTGAGGTGCTTGATTTATAAAGGCTGTGTACTCAGAGGGTTGGAGACAAAGCCTAGGGCTCAAGCAGAGTGGGAGACTGGATCAGAGATCCCCACATCAATCTAGGACCCTTGAAGGGCAACATCTTCCTTGAGAGAACTAAAAGGAAGGAAGGTATGAGATGCAAGAAGGAATGGTGGACAAAAATAATGTTGAACTTGTGGGAACTTAAACAAAAATGGATCATGTAAAACATAACCACTAATGTCTAATGCAGGTGGTTAAATTAAGATAGAATCCTGGACAGTGACAACATATAAATCAGAAGAGAAGTGAAGAAGTTAAAGCATTCTAAGGTCCTTGACTTTTCAAGAGGAAGGTAGAGATACTTATTAATACCAGATTTTATTCAGTAAAAGATACATGGTAGAATTTCTAGGGTAATCACTGAAAGAATAGAAATAGAGTGTATACTTGTCAAACAAATAGAGTGAAAATGTTGGATAAGGAAAAAAAAAATTCAACCCCAAAGAAGGCAAGAATTGGGGGAGGGTGCAGCATGCAGGGGGAAGAAACATAAAAAAAGATGAAAAACAGAAAACACAATGAGGTAGTAGAAATGAATTTTAAAAATCAATAATCATTGTCAGTTTAAGTAGGTTAAAATTTTCAT